TATAAAGTTCCCAACTGAAAACGTCAATCACCACATGTAAGTCGTTTGTATAAAAATATTCAGTTGTTTCTGGTGTAGTGAATACTTCATATAACAATTTTAGAATAAGCATTTGTATATGCGGTTCAACTTTTTTTTTAATAATATTAGTTAATACTTTTTTTTAAAATATGTATAAAAGTTGAATGTTAGAAAAAGTTGTATCTTACCTGCACGATTAAACATGAATATTACGTTTTCTCCAAAGGTTTTACTAGTTCCAATACGTGCAGACAACATTCTTAGTAGAGGATTGTAGTTCAAGTCGTTATCTTCATCATAGCTCGTTCCGTGGACTGCTAGCATAAATTGTTCATTTAACGACAGCTAATGCAAATAAGTAAGATTAAGAATTTCATATAATAAATATACATTACGTCGGAAAATTTTTTCTAGAGAGCTAACTAATACTTACCATTAAATGAATGACTGAATAATTAAAAGTCTCATCCTCTTCATCTCTTGTATTCTCTACCAAGTTAAGGAGATAGTCAAAAAATTGATCATCAAAAATACCTATAAATGCATTGAAAATATTGAATTAAAAAATAAGAAAGAATTGAAGGAAACAAGCGTTATTATGCACAAAAAACAAAAATATCAACATGAAATAAATTACTTAGTATATTTTGTGATATACGCTGTCCGCGACAAATTTCAAACATTAGATTCACAGCAATTTGTTGCACTTTACGCTCTAATTATATGGTATATATTGAGAAAAAACATTCTTTTTGATGATCTTGCATGTTTAAAACCATTAACATATACGAACCTTTATCTAGATCACAAATATGTTCCTTCAACTTCAAAATGAAGGCATGCTCTTGTGGGCGAACCATTAATTTAAATACTGCTAGATTATTCTTCCCCGCAAGATACAAAATATTAAAGATCACCCATAATTCTTTAAATTCGTTGCGTGTTGTTGCTTGATGTATCATACGTTCAATTATTATGTTAGAAAATGTTTGATACATTGGCGAACTCAGGAGATTATAGAAACATTGGGCTAATTGTGAATCCGTTTCCAAGTATTCATCTACATATATAAAATAGGATACGTTAATGCCAAACTATAGCTATTAAAAAATAAATCATATAACGAATACCTTGAAATTTTGAGACAAAATTGACGTATGCATCTATCGCCCTTTTTGCTGTATCTTGATTTTGCTGACCTTGGGCTAAGATATCATCCAATTCTGGTTCAAACAAATTTGGTAAGTTTAAAGTCCAGGAAAAAATATACATGTATACTTACCAATCCAAAATTGTTCAGAATTTTCCAAATGATAAATTATTTCGTCATGCATTGTGTGACAACTGGTTTTTGAACAAGAGTAGAAAAATATTCTGGTAAATAAGAAATTCTTTTTATCTTAAAATTTGAAAAGTAAGAAGGCGACATTTTAAGATTTAAAAATATTTTAATAACAATAAATTCTATTTAAAGATATTTAGCCCACGTGAGGTCGTTGAATGATCCAAACAAGGTTAGACAAGCGTCTTATTTTGACCCGTTATTAAAGGCAAAAAATCGATAACTTTATATGAAAATTCAAATTTAATAATGAAACGCACTAGTTTTTCAAATATTTAATACAATAACTTACCAAGAAAACTAAATGTGAATATATTATGTTTAAAAGGTCTATTTCGAAAAATACTGGAATGATCCAATAGTAGAAGAAAAAAACAAATCGTTTGGAATCCAAAATTTTTAAGTTAATAGTAAACCTATTTTTAACAACAATTAAAGAATTTAAGAATTTAAAAGGATGGAGATAAAGGATAAAAGACCGAACCTTAACACTAATACTATTAATATATAATAGAATATTGCCTTATTGGTTCATAAGAATGTTCCCGAAGATCTCCGCAACACAGCGGTAACATTTGGCTATATTCAAAACGTTATTAAAAAAAACCCGTGTGTACGCCATGAATTTATAAATGCTAGCACAATGTATTATATCACATGCTGCATCAAAGTATTAGTATATTTCTAACGCAGGATTTATATTATATCACATGCCACATCATTCGATTGCATATAAAATTTAGTGTACAATATTTGTACGTAGTACTTACAAACGTATCCTACCATAATTTGGTTAATTATGATACAGTATAATATAGCTCGTCATTCTTGCATATTATGTCATGCATTTAAACAAAAAACGCGTGGTGCATATATTGGTGACGTGATTATCATCGATCATAAAATGAAAATCACAATAATTCCATGAATTATTATTAACTTATGGTAAATGAGTTATGAATATTATCAGTTAACAAAAAAAAAAGTTATCTGTGCTTTGCATATCAATAGCAATATACTATCACTGGAATTTGAAACCTCGAGGTTTTGATAAACCTACGTTCCAACCCTTCCAAACTCATTTAAGACAATTTCATCTCATACTGCTGTACTGTATAAGATAAACTTGTGAATTTGAATAGTACTTTATTTATAAAAACAAAAAAAGGACAAGCCAAAATATAAAATTTATAGAAAAGAAAAAACATTCTCCGAGGAATTGAGCAATTCAATCATAAAATCAATCTAAAAGGAGGCAATAACGAAAAGAACACACTTTATGTCCTGTATATACAGTGACATCAAGAGAAATAAATAAAAACAAATATATATAATAAAGATACGATGAGGGGAGAATAATATTCATTTAAAGTCCAGTTAAAAAGGAAACATTTTGTAAGAACATTAAGAGGAAAAACTATTTACAAAAAAAAACTCTAGAAAATATAAAAAACTATAAAGAAAAGGTAGATTTACTTATATACATGATAAGTATTATAAAAATCGTTACTTGTATACAATTTTTTTTCTATTATTAAGTTGACAAGACCTTCATTACTGCAAAAGGGAATAAATAATCTAGTAACGATGTAGTTTAGTATTCTAATAATAGTAAGGTTCCCGCTTAATTTATTGGGCATCACGTTTGTAGTAGTAATAAGCATCGGCATCACGTTTGTCGTAGTAATAAGCATCGGCATCACGTTTGTAGTAGCCGTAATAAGCATCGGCATCACGTTTGTAGTAGCCGTAATAGGCATCGGCATCGGCATCACGTTTGTAGTATTCGTAATAGGCATCGGCATCGGCATCACGTTTGTAGTATTCGTAATAGGCATCGGCATCGGCATCACGTTTGTAGTAGCCGTAATAGGCATCGGCATCACGTTTGTAGTAGCCGTAATAAGCATCGGCATCACGTTTGTCGTAGTAATAGGCATCGGCATCACGTTTGTCGTAGTAATAGGCATCACGTTTGTAGTAGCCGTAATAAGCATCGGCATCACGTTTGTCGTAGTAATAAGCATCGGCATCACGTTTGTCGTAGTAATAGGCATCGGCATCACGTTTGTAGTAGCCGTAATAAGCATCGGCATCACGTTTGTCGTAGTAGTAAGGATCTGTAACATTGAAATTTTAGATATATATGGAAGGCAACCAACATTAATTGGTTTCAAGCTTAACAAAAGACCAAATACATTACCGGCCGCAACAGTCGCAACGAACGCGACTAAAAGTCCAAGAGTAGCAATTCTCATTATTATTATATATTTTATTTTATTTTATTATTTTATTTTATTTATTTTTTTATTATTATTTTTTGAAAATCTTATTTTCTTCAATGAAGGTCTTGAGGGTGAAATTGAGAGGGTTTATATAGGCTCAAGAATTGTATGCGTTGTAAAAAAGTTCTTTCTTTTACATATCTGTGTTTTTATCCCAAAGCCTCACGTCATTTTCTTCAAATAAAAGCCTCTAAATACTACAATTAATAACCGCAATAATAGTCAATGGAAAGAAATCTTGTAATTGGCTTTGTTGAGTGATTCAAGGAATTTTCTATCAAAGACATCAAATATTTATCACTATCGTGACATGTAGAAAAATTAAGCCTCATAAACCCAAGCCTTTGTGTGGCTTCACATTTCGAAGATTAAAATTCAACAATTACAATTTAAAGAAAATTTTCTGGTTTGAATCTCTATTAAAGTTCTAACAAGAATTCTTTAAGATAAGCCATTTAGAAAAATTAAGCATAAAAAATTTCAATGGTTAAATAATAATGTACTATTATGTTTAAAAACTCAAGCAAATGATTAAAAGCCATAAACATTATCTAAAAATTACAGATCTTTGCTGTTATTTCTCAAGAAACGCATTTCCTTATTGAAACTTGGTATCGTTATTTAGTAACTTTTCTATGAATTCTATTATAATAGCAAAAGTTAATGTTTTTGACAAACAAATTATTTAGTATTATTTTGATAAGTTCGTTTCTAACGATGTATATATTATTGTAATGTATAACGCGAATTTTTTATCTTGAAAATAATAAGCCTGTTGAATGAAGCCTCTTCACTAAAAGGACTTTTCTGGCAAATAAATGTGGATTTGGTTTAAAAAGCCTTGAACCAAGCAACAACTTTTTTTATCCAATATTACAATATTTTCGCCCAATAAAAGTTATGATAATGGATGTTAATGAATGTTAATGAATTTTAATGCTTTATCAAACATGATCACTAACTGACAGCCACGTAAAAAATATTCAAGCCTATTTAAAATTGAAGCTTAGCTCAATTTAATTGATAATTACTATACCAAATTTTATTAAATATTATTAGCTTGAAACTTTGTTTTATCAATTATCAGAAGAGAGGCGGATGACTTTTCAACAATTGTGATCAAAATGTTTGCAACGGTAAGGATCGCTTATATCAATATTGCCGAGTGTCTTAACATTTTAAAAAATATCGAATAATAAAGGCAAAAACTTTTATAGCTGCATATTGTTCGAAAATAATTCAGCTGATCATGATTTTGATTTATCATCTTCTGGTCTTAGTTAGAGAAAATCTCTACCCGGGTATTATTAAATTACCCGGGTTATCCGGGTAAATTATTATATATCATATAGCACAATTTCTACCCGGGTCCAACCCCTAGTCTTTTCAAAGACTAATCCATTATTATAAATTAGTCACATATTTTGATTAATTTTTGTTAACTGTATTATTCTATAATTATTTATATTATTAAGTAGATAAATCATACTCAACTCAGAAAAAATTATTAGCGTACTCAACTCTGCAAGTCGTGTAGACTCTAATCAGATAACCCTTACCATTACAGCATTACGATTTGGACTAGTCTCTAATTAGTTAATAAGATTTTCTCTAATAAATAAAATTCTAATACTGACTAGTGTACCTGGGTATTTACAATGACTAGAGGTATATTCGGGTATTTTTTTTGATTATCTTCTTTTACCTAGAGGGTATTTTTCATGACATAAAAGTACTGCTTTCTGAAGTAAACTTTTATTTGTGCAGCAATGAAAATAAAAACGAAATGCAGGATCTTTCATTATTTTTAATTAAAAAAAAAATGTTAGAAAATGAAAGCTAAATGTGCCTTATGAAAATAAATAATTTTTAATATAATTAGCAAAATTCATCCACATCGTCTTGAAAATAAATAAATTACTTCTAATGAGCACGATATAATGGTCATTACGGTTAAATCGTTGCTAATAATATGTAAAAAAAAAAAAAAAAAAACAAAGTCTATTCCATCACTATTTGACTTGAAATTTTGTTTAAGATTGGGCCAAGCATATGGTTTTTTTTAACACTTGTTTGCTTAAACAAAACGTAATTTTACAGGCAATTACAACATTTATCCGTTTCACTTATTGATATTAGGATATGAATATTTTAATTTCACAAAATTTGAATGAACGTTTTTCAGATAAATTATTGATTTTTGACTTTAAGATAGCGGCTTGTCAAATTTTCTCATACAGTATTTTTTTCTCTGAACATGTTTCTAGTACCGTAAACGGTCATATAAAAGACCCGGGTCTGTTACATTCCTCCAATTTTAAACCTATAGTAGACCCGGGGTCTAGTACATGACTGAGAGTTTGTATCATCGAAAGTAGAATTTAAAACGCATACACACCTCGCATTTGTAACATGCAATCTAGATTTTTGAAAAGAATTGTATTTCAGTCAAAAAGATCCTGAGATCTGCACACGGGTCTGGTACCCGGTGGATCTACTATTTTGGAGGGTCTTTTATATGGCCGTTTACGGTATTTGTTCTGCCAAAGAAGATTTATAAGAAAAAAAAATTCTGAAGATAACGAATTAAAGCCGTTTTATTTATTTATGAAGCATGTATTCAAAAATGATTTATGTCGTAGTGTTACAAGCCGCAACTAAGGCGGCTTAGCCGGCTAAGCCAGCCGATGTAATGTGATCGGTTGGCTAATGCGGCACAAGATCATATGACTTTCAGCTGTTTTGGAACAACTGAAAAAATGCCGATGACCGAATCGATAAGTTTCTGAGTTTGGCCGAAGTCGGTTACTTATTGATTCCGACTCGGTAACCAATTTTTTCAGCTGTTCCAGAATTTAGTATAATTTAGGCCGGAGTGTTAATGTGATAATACCAGGCGGAATTAAAGCAATAGGAGGCACAAGGTTCCGAAAATTTCCGGATAGAAAATGAAATATTTGAAATTTTCCGAAGATAAAAGATAAAACATTTGGTTTTTAGCCGCTTAGCCGATTTTTATCGGCTGGCTAAGAATTACCAAATTTGAATTAGTTTTTTTTTTATGATCTAATGATTCAAATTTAAAATTTTGATACAGTACTATTTAAACTATTTCATCAAGACAAATTTAATAGTATCAAAATTTTAAATTTGAATCACTATCTGACTAAACCAGCTGATAAAAACCTTATGGAACACTATACTTTATTCAAATGGTTACATGGATCAAATGTTATATATAACACGGTAATTGTTTTGGGAAGCGCAAAAAATTTATTTGCTTTCATGAAATTATGGCTTTATAGGCATCTATAAATACCATCATCAACAACCTGATTTTACCTTCTCATATAAAAAGAGCTCATGAACATTGCGATGATCTTGAGAAGTAATCAGAAGAAATTAGCACGTCTACAAGTCATTTAATAGATGATTTTTCATTTTATTGCTCCAAACATTATTATGCGGCTAGGAGAGTATCTAGCGTTTGTTATGACCCGTCATAGAAAATTGAAGTCATCTATGAATTCACACATATAGTGATGATGGTTTTTGACCTGTTAGAAGGATTGTAAATTATTGTGTAAAATTATGTGTATATTTATAATATTATTAAGAGTATTTCTAATTTCTGGGATTATATATTTGGAGTTTGAAACTTATTATTAATAGAAGATAAATATAGTGAGAACTTTTATGTAATTTATGCTATATCAAAGGTTTTAGATTCATTCTTTACATACTTGAAGTGGTTTTTTAAACATGCAAAATAATGTATATACAATTTAATTATTTTTATAGTTATAATTATTATAAATATATAATTTTAATTCTGCCATATACTATATATAAAATTTAACACGTATACTGTAAATCTAAGCAGACAAATAAGTTATCACAATCTAAGATGGAATAAATAGAGTTGCAAATTAAAAAAAAATAGATTTACAAGTTTTGTTAAAAATTGATGCTAGAAAATAAAATAGTATTTGCTAAGATTTTATAATTACTATATACAAAATTTTAATAAAATTATTAATTAAAAAAATCGGTATTGTTTTGATAAATAATATAATATACAGGGTTGGTCAAATTACTGGTCGACCAAAAATTCATTGGTCAAACTGGTCTGGTCAAATTGGTCAAATGGTCTATC